GCCTTCTATTCAGATTTACTTTATAATCTCTTCATCTGGGACTTTTGCACGAAAAAAGCGGCCTCACAACAACTTTACGGCCGCAAAACGCACTCACACTTGCATGTGCATATGCAATAGTAGCTTTGGCTAATTTTGCTTATACTTTCTGTCAGTTTATCTCCTGTTGGGACATCCAACTGGCCTTAGGCATTGTTCTAATTAAATAGGCTATCTCTATTTTAATACGGAATCGAGCCTAATATAGACAATGTCGGGATCCTGATTTGTGTCTAAAGATAATTGACGAAAAGGATACCAAATGATGGGGCAATTTTCACCTGGCCCCTGGATTGCCGCCTTTACCCCGAGCCCGAGGCACAACGTCACTCGTTCATTCTGCAAACTTAACTGCTCTGGCGCACGAATACGTCCTCACTTGCAGAGACATTAAAGCTAAGCCTGGGAGGAGGTCTTTTGAGGCAAGGCAAGTCTGAACAATCATTGTCTGGGGCGCTAATTAGCAAGTGAAATCTATTCTCCGCTTTTTACATTAACCAGCTCTGCCATCTGTCTCGGTGTACCAGGTCAAGACGCACAGATGCAACTTCTGGGCCGACTCAAAGGGATGAGGCGGGTGCGTACTCGCAACCAGGCTGCAGTTGTCAAGACTTGTACTGTTGCCATGGCCAATCGGGACTCATGGCTACTCGTCCAGTCATATTACAGCCTCCAACCCATCAGTGCCTGGTCAGGCCTGGGGTTCCGATGAGTCTCAGAGCAAGCGGTTGCATGAGAGAGGAATAAGTCAAGTTGCGAATGTATACAATGTCAAGCTAGTTGACAGGTCGAGACTACTGTTGGATCTGCTTTTACCGTGAAAAAAACAATTTGTTGTAAAACGTGTCAGGTTTGTGTTCATCGCCCGAATATTTTAGGCATTTTATAGTGACTCGAAAATTCGTGATGAAACGATGGATTTCCTAGAATCACTTCAAAATAGGGAATTAACTGAAAAAATCATCCATCAATCTGTCAACATTAGACGAATACCCATTCATCGAGGTTGGTGGATGCTGCACTGAACACTTTTACTCACAACGAAAGAGTATCAGATTTTAGAAAATTTATATGAGCTGCATTCACCCTATTTCGTTTAAGGTCATGAAGGACTGGTGGTAGAATTTCCCACAATGATATGAGTAGAGCTGACGTTGTCATTGAATTTTACATAATCTTGCGGTCCCAAAAGTTGTTCTCATCCATGCAGAAATTGACTGCAGTTTCCACCTCGCATAGACCATATCAACACCCCCGGAGGGAGTCGAACCGTGAGAGTACAGAATGTGCGCTTGACACGTTGACCACTCAGCCGCATTGCACGAGTGTCCTTGGATCAATTTCAAGAAAGGCTAGGTCTTTTTCCATATGATATTCTTTGATGGGATTGTCGATGGAGCAAACGTATTTTTGCTATAACAATCGACTACATTACATATCATATAATTGATTTACTGGTTGTCTCGAAACTCTACTTACATACGAAAAATGAGTAACGAATAAGTTGTTCTCACCTTGGATGAGGACAACTTTTGGGACAGCAAGGCTATGTGAAATTCAATGGAAACGTCAGCTTTACCCATACCATTGTGGGAAAATTATACTATCAGTCCTACATCACCTTAAATGAAATAGGGTGAATACATCTCATATTA